AGTCCACTTGGGCAGCTGTCACCAAGTCCCACAGGTGGTGGAGGAAATCCGGGAAGTCCTCAGGATGCCAGAAGCTGAAAGTCCAAGATCACTGTGTGGTGGGCTGGCTTCGGCTGAGCTTCCCTGGTTTGCTGATGGCCCCCCCCCCGGGGTCTTCACGTGGTCCCCCTTCTGTGCACTTAAACGTCTGTGTCCTCATCTTTACTGTAGAACCCCAGTCCTTTTGACTTAGTCACCGCTAGATCCCCATCTCTAAATGCAGTCCCATTCTGAGGGCCTGAGGGTTAGGACTTCATCAAATGAGTTTCGGGGAGACGCAGTTCAGCCCCACAAGGCAGCGGGGAGGAGGTTTAGTAGGAGGGGGGTGCAGGGAGGAGAAGGCAATTTTCTAACCCACCTGAGGGAGTGAAAGAAGCAGCCCGGGAAGCCACCTTCCCAGTTCCGCAGCCCCGGGCAGGAAGGTGCGTGGCTCATGAGACAGAAAGCAGCAGAGTCAGAGTGGTGACAGGCCAGCTCTCGGTGGGCCAAGACTGAGTGAGCTCAGCAGGGGACCGGGCAGCGGGACCGGGATGCTGCCAGGGCAGTAGGAGGTAACTGGATCCACGCTCCAGATGGCAGTCAGGCGGGGGCAGTGGGTGTGGGGTGCAGGGCGCCCCACCCAGACCTCGCCTCTGAAGGGAGACCAGGTCCCTGGTGCTGGCAGTACTGCTCCTGGCTCAAGGCCTGCCTTGCCCTCGTCCCCCTCACAGGCAGGGATGAGTGGATGCACTCAGGACCTGTCTGAGAGGTCCCAGGGGACTGCGAGGGCCTGTGACAGTTGCATTTCTTCCTCTTCCTTCCCTCCCCCCTCTCCCATCTCCTGCAGGCGAACCCCCAGCTCGGAGTCTATGTCACAGGGAACCAAACCTCAAGTAACAGGCCACCAACAGCCGTCAGACCCCGATGTGTTTTCAAGGTCAAGTCCACAAGGACTGAGACCCTATCATCATTTCGTGGAGCAACCAGAGACAGCTCCACAGCTCTGTCATCTGCTCAGGCCCAGGGACTGCTGAGCGTGTGACCTCTAGGGCCCCAGCCTCTTCTGCCCTCCCTGCTCCCAGGCGCAGATTTGCTTACTGGGAGTTTCTGTTTGTTTGTTTTTAATCTTAATGAGTTTTATTAGGCATTTTTATTCCGTTCCCCATCCTACTTCAAAAACGATTCATGGGTTCAACCCCCAGCCCCCAAAACTATACTCAGATCTCTGCAGAAACTTAAAGTGACGACCACCCATACTGGGAGCTCCGGAGGGGCGAGCGGTGCTCCTCCTGCCCTTCCCCACCGTCCTGCCCTATCCTTGCCCTCCTTGTTTCTGTCTCCACCTTGGCCTCCGTCCTCCCTCCCTCTAAAGATCTGACTAGCGATGGGACACCGCCCACGCTGGCGCCTTCACCTGCCCTCCTCTGCTTCCTTCCAACAAGCCCAGGCCTGGCCTGTCACACCAGGTTGCTGCTGTCCCTCTGCCTTTGTGTTGATTTGCTGCCTCTGCCATCCAGACCTCCAGCTGGCACAGCACAGTCCTGCAGGTTCTGTCCTGGGCTCTGCAGCTGGCTGTTTTGCTCAACCCTCGAAGAAACTGCAGGTGACTCAGGTCACTGGTACCTTCTCACCAAACCAAGGTTCTCTCCTGAGTCCTCACTCTTGGGGACTGTAAGGTTTTCAGCACAGAGCACAGAGCCCGGTGGAGCCCTCTGTGTGGGCACTCTTGGCTTCTCGGCTTCCTCAGGCTACTTCTTGCTCGTCTTTCCACCCCCCTGCTCCCGGGTGCAGACACCTGCCTTCTACTCCCCCGCAGAGAGCTGCCCTGTGCATTTCTGGTCGCTGGCATGCAGCCATTTCCTGCTGGTCAACCTGCCCAAACCAGACCACAGGCCCCTGCCTGTGGTCAAGTCAGCCCTCTCCCCTGGTTCTCCTGAATTTGTGCTGCATCCTCAAAACGTTGGGGGCCTTCCTGACTCCTCACTGCCCTCCTGCCCTTTTGTGCAATTCCTTTCATTTCTTTAGAAGCTCTCAGGTCTTGGGCAGCGTGGCAGCCATAACAAATTCCATAGACCAGGTGCTCTGAACAGTGGCCCCTGCTCCCTCATGGTTCCGCAGCCTGGAAGCCCAAGGTCAAGATGGGGATTTGGCTTCTGGTGAGGGCCCTCTCCTGGCTGTGTCCTCATGTGGCCTGTCCTTGCAAGGGTGTGGACACAGGCATGAGAGTGCAGTGGGGGTGGGGAGCCCTCCAGGGTCTCTTCTTCTTCTTCTTTTTGGTACTGGGGACTGAACCCAGGGGTGTTTACCCACTGAGCCACATCCCCAGCCCTTTTAAAAATATTTTATTTAGAAGACAGGGTCTGAGTTGCTTAGGGCCTGGCAACTCAGTTGCTGAGGCTGGCTTTGAACTCGTGATCCTCCTGCCTCAGCCTCCTGAGTTGCTGGGACTACAGATGTGTGCCACCAGGCCAGGCCAGGGTCTCTTTTTATAAGGACAGTAAGCCTATCATTTCTATCACGTGGGACTCACTCTCAGGTATCATCTATCTGACCCTAATTATCTCTCATAGGTCCCACCTCCAAGTAGCATCCTGTTGGGGGTTAAGGTTTCAACATACCAGTTTGGGTGGGAATGACACTAACATTGAGTCCCTGACATCCCTTCTATTTCTGTTTGCTTTGGTCATTTGCTGGACTCCCTGGCTCCCAGCCCACACCATGACTGAGATCAATTTCCTGCTATGGCCTAGTCTGTGGCTGGTGGGGTTGGCTTTTCCTTCCTTCCCTCCCAACCCTCATCCTCCAGGCTCCCAATGCAGAAGGCCCACTTGTCCCCCCAGGTTGTACCCATGCTGAAGTGGCGAGCCGGCCGGTTCTCTGTGTCTCCAGTTGGTTACTTTTTCCATCAGCTATAGGTGCCATGTCCAGGTGGCCCAGAGTCTACAAGGCTGTGTGCATGTAGGAAGGGTGCTTCCTCTGCCACCAGAGCTGACGGCCCTGCCCCAGGCCAGAGAGCAGACACTTGAAACCCAGTAAGCTCTTGACTCATCCACCTTGAGAGACAAGGGACAGCCACTATATATCCTAAAGTCCAAGATGTGCGTTTTAACATTGCCAAAATCAAGGCGGAGCTTACCATCCGTGGTGTTCCACTGAAGTGTGTGTGTGCGCATTTCCTTCAGTGGTACATAAAACAGTGTCTTATCTTACAGTTGATGGCATCTTAGATTCTAGAAGCTATAAAGCTCAAGTACTGGTCTTGACTGTAGGAAAATTTCAAAAATATGTAAAGCATGCCACAGTGCAGAACGTTAGGTAGGAAAGAGGAGACAGAAAATAAACAGAACACTTTTCCCTCCCCAAGACCTTACTGTCTAGTTAGTGAAACAAGACAAAGAGAAAATCAATACAAAAATAGGTGCCAACACATGAGCAAGTGAGCACTGACGTGTCCAATGAGCATCTGAGTGTACAAAACATTGTTATCTGGGATCAAGATCTCAGGAATATTTCCTGGAAGAAGTGAACTGTGGTTTAAAAGGGAAGGACAAGTGGGCCAGTGGCTAAACTGCTTAATTTAATGGGCACATTGTTTTCATGAGGTAGTAAAATTTCATGAAAGGGAAAGAATTTGGACGGATTATGAGCATCATATCTGGGATTTCCATGCATCATGGCTGAAGGCTCAAGACGACCAAAAGTTCTGTGTTCAAGTTTACTTTATTCCCTGAATCTTGGTATGATGGGCTGTTCACTGAGCACTGAATATCTGGTTGTTTCTCGTCACAGCTGATGTCTGCAAGGACACCTCCATGTCCTTCTTGGCACTGGGGGATCTGCCCCTTCTGGAACAGGTGGGGACAAACAGCTTTGGCCCACAGTCTTGTCCTCAGTGCAGAGAGAGGAACTGGCTTGTGCTGGGAGCCTGATGGAAACTCCGTGGTGGAGGCCTCTGGGGCCACGCACAATACCCCATGTGACCCCCAAGGTGATTCCAAGTCAGCCTAGTGTCCCCTCTCCCTCCTCTGCAGACTCATCCTGACTCACAGACCTCGGGCCCAGAATCCAGTGGCAAGAGGGGCACTGACTCAGGTCACCCAGCTGCCAAGCCACATAGGCCACATCAGATGCATGCTAAACGAAATCTGTGGGAGGGGCGCGATTTCCATCTGATGGGCGCAGTAGAGGATGCTCAGACAAGCAATAAGTGGGGCTGTGTTTGGGGTCACAGTACCAGTTCTCTCTAAGCCCACACTCGGATGATGCCTGGAGGTGGACCACACTGCCCTCACTCACAGAATAGTAAAAGGCAGCATCTAACTGTCCACTCTCCATGCTCCAGCCATTCATGCTCCAGGAATTCACTGTCCTCATGGTCACCTATTAAAGGGGCCAGTTATCACTGCCCCCTCCTCGGCAGGGAGACTGAGGCAGAATCTAAGTGGCCCATCCAGGTTAGCAGAAGCAGAGCACAGAAGGAGGCCCAGCGTCCCTGGGGCGGAGGGGGGAGCAGGAGGGCCGCGGTGGTTTCCAGCCCCATAGGGCCCTCCAGGCCGGGGGCTGCCCATATAAGGCTGCAGCCGTCCAGCATGGGTAGGGGCTCATTAGGGCCCCCAGCGGCTCAGCGTCCTCCTCCGCGGCGAGGAATGTGTGGAATCTCCTCCCTAGCTGCCGCCCACCACATGGAGGACCTTCCCTCCACCCACACCCGCCGGGATTAGCCCCCAGTCCCGGTGCTCGCGGAGCGCACTCCCCGCCCACCCGGGCCTCGGGCGCGTCCTCGCCGGCGCGCGCAGCTGCCTCGCCGCTGGGGGGAGCGCGGCGCCTCGGCGGAGCGGCCAGGGAGGCGGCGGCGCGCCCTCACCTGCCCCAGGCGCGGCTCATCGGGGCGGCAGCGGCGGAGGAGGAGGAGGCCGCGAGGCCGCCCGGGAGGAGGCCGGGGAGGAGCCTGGCGGGACGGGAGGGCGGCGCAAAGTGAAACTCCTGGAAGTTGCGGGAGCGCGAGGAGCCGTCGCGGGCTGCGCGCCCTCGGCCGGACGGGCCCGGCTCCCGCGCACAGCGCACCCGGTGCCCATGGCCCTGAGCAAAGGGCTGCGGCTGCTGGCGCGGCTGGAGGCCACGGGCGAGAGCAGCGTGCTGCTGGAGGCGCGCGGCCGCGGCGACTGCCTGCTCTTCGAGGCCGGCACGGTGGCCACGCTGGGTGAGTGCCGCGCCCTCGCCCTGCCGCCCGCGGGCGGTGACGCCGGGAGGACGGGCGCCTGCCTGCGCCGGGACCTGGGAAGACCCGCGCCTCCCTGCCCCAAGGGGCCAGTCCTGGAAGGCGCGGGGACCGCCAGGGCTGGGGATCGCGCGGAGGCGGGTGGCTTTTAGGGAGGAAGGGGCGCAGGGGATGGCCGCGAGCACCCCTGGCTGAGCATGGTGGCGCACGGCGGGCACCCGGGGTCTCCGTCTGCGCGCCCCGAGGGCTCTGTTCTTGGAGAGGCGGCTCTGACTTTTTACGCTTGGCGCTGGGTCAGAGCGCGTTGCAGATTCACGACGGTCCCAGGGGACTGACTTAGGAGTCGGCAGTCCTGGCCCGGCGCTGTGCCTGGCACTCTTTCTTATGCACCTGTTGATGAAACCAGTGATTGCCTTTAGGTTTGTGTTGGCTTGGCTCCACTCCCAAAGGGGATGGGACCCAAGCTCCGAAACACAGACTCTGGGGAAACCACAGATGGCATCTTTGTCACACGTTAATACTTGGTCGAGAGCGTCACTACTTTGGGCGTATAGGACTTTGGAAGCAAATATACTATCTGGTGAATTTACCTGTATGCTGGATGTTAGAAATTGCCAAGCCAGCATATTTCACCTTTGGGCTCAGAAACCTTGAAACTGACATGGTGCTGAGGATTTGGAGACATAATCTCATTTAATTTTCACAATTTTACAAAACTATTGTTGTTATTCGCATATTACAGAGGAGCAAACTGAGGCCTGAAGATGCTAAGACACTTGTTTGCTCAGGGTGACACAGTCCACCTGACTTGTGTGTGGCCATTTTGATAGTGTCATACAATTCATGGCTTCCTGATCCCTGGTTTTGTGGACAGCACTCAGGAAGAAGGTTCTAGGTGGCACCAAAGCCAGTGACATCAGGTGGGGTTGTTGGGGTTGTCATCATAAACCCTGGAGAGAGATTTACAAGAGCAGGTGTCCAGCTGCACCATCTTCCGGTGTTCTTAGCTCACCAAGTGCAGAATCACTTGTTCATTTGTACTTAAGATGTTCAGCAAATACAACTGCCACTCAAGCAGTGCTTCATAAATGTCTCCAATTGTGTGTGTGTGTGTGTGTGTGTGTGTGTGTGTGTGTGTTTGTTTTATGGTGGTGCTGGGGATTGAACCCAGGGCCTCATGCATGTGCTCTCCCAAGGAGGTACATCCCAGCCCTCTGGGCTTGTTTTTACATTTATATGCATCAACTCCAGTTAGGACACAGGACTGTGTGCATATATATGTGTGTGTGTGTGTCTCCCCAGCACCATTTCTTCTATTTCTGTTTCCTGGATCATTTAACATATAATTATCTGGATTGCTTTCAGTCACTTGATTACTTAAACAGTGTCTCCAGTATTCTTTGCATTAAAGTGTGTAGCAAATCATGGATTAAATTATTATCAGATTATTCCATTTTTGGCTGTGTCCTGAAAAGTCCAAGTTTGGTCATTTTTTATGGCCTTGAAAGAAAACCACAGAAATTTCCATTCCATTTTAGTTGTCTACCTCATACCACATTTATCAAAACTGAGAGATTAATTTCATGACACAAAACTACCATTTCATCAAAAAGATTAAACTGTCCTTTGGTTGGATTACAGTGACATGAGGCAAGGTTCATACACATTTAAGGGTTCCTTTGAAGCCACTTGGAACAAAAAAGTACTTTTTCTAAAGTGAAGGTTTTTATATGGTTAATGAAGGCGGCAGAGTGGGTGTCTTCCAGGGGAAATGGGCTGTGGGCTGAGGTGCCTTTCCCTGGCATTGGTGATGCAGCGCCCTGGGTTTATAGTAGAGGTGATGAAAGCAGTTGGCATGTCCTTAGCTCATGTGCATTCCACACTTGTGTCTTAACCTATCATTTGTTTTTTGGTAGACCGCAGGCTAAATACTTATGCTTTTAAAGATTGTTTTTTTTTTTAATGAAATGAAATGAAACTATTTTTAAAAAGCAGCTGTACCTTTTGATGGTATTCCTTGTCCAGAGGCTTCTGAGGGAGCGTTCAGTGAGTGACTAGAAGTTGTTTCAAACTTTGAAGACACCCTAAGTGCACACATTGGATACATTGACGCTGACCTTGAAATTCCCATCTGTGCTCCAGGGCTGGCCAGCTGAGTTGCTGTGCTTTGCTGTTCTCAGTGAGGTGAAAGGCGCTCCCCCTGCCCCCAGGAAGGTTGCATCTCTCCTTTTGTGGGGACAGTGCACTTGTCCTTTCCCTGAGAGTATGGGGTGGGGACAGCTTCCTTTTCTCTTTGGCTGTGGTTTTTCTGTGATGGATGTCCCCAGTGAGTAACAGGAGCCTAGGACACTAGAGGTGTGGGCTGTTGCCATGTGGGTCATGGTGTTCTTGGCTCCTGCGTGGCTCCAAAGCCTGCCCAGCTCTGTGTCAGGTGCACACTACTGCTTTTACTGGGATCAACAGGTGATGAGGTGGCTTGGCTCTCCCACCATGAGCACGGGTTGCCAGCACCTTCCTGCACATTTCACCCTAAGGATTCTAGTTTGAGGAACGTCTGTCACTGGAAGGGCTCAGCGGTTCCTTAGTGTTTTGGGTCTTTATTGGTGTTCACAGGAAAAGCTGATGATGCATGATTGGTTGGCAGTTGGACTTCTCCCTCTTACCTGCTCTAGCCTGTCCTCACCTGTTCCCACCTGTCCGCCTATTCTTCCAGTGAACTTTGCAGATGTTCTCCGTACAAGGCCACCTAACCTGCTAATGAAAAGACTATTTAAGGAATAGTTCCAAATTCATGTTTCCAGAAGAATTAAGCTGAGAATCTTTTAAATGGATCAGTGGGAGCAGGAATTCCAGAGACAGAAAAACTACAGGTATAGGCACCAGTTTAAAAGGTTTTCACCAAGTGGATGTGGTGGTGCTTACATGTAATCTCAGCCACTTCAGAGGCTTAGGCAGGAGAATACTGAATTCAAGTCCAGCCCAAACAACCTAGTGAGACCCTATCTCAAAATAAAAATGAAAAGGGCTGGGGATAGGGTTCAGTGTTAGAGTGCCCCTGGGTTCTATTCCCAGTACTGCCATCTTCTGTGTAGATGACAATCCAGCGTCCATTGCCCCCATCCAGAATCAGCATCCAGATGTTCTCTTGTTCACACATCCACACAAGAAGCACTGGTCTTTTACAGCTGTCTCTTTTAGACTTTGGATGGACCAGATGGAGGGAAGCGTGCTGGTTGTTGATGGAGTTCACCTGCTTTCAGAGTGAGCGTCAGTGCTCCAAAGTTCAGTGTTCTCCAAACAGCCGGCAGGTCCCCATGTTTACACGTGGGTTTATGCCTGTACCCTGCCTCTCCACCCTCCACTCCCCCCCCCCCCCGCCTTGTTACTGTTGAGTGTGGGCAGCAGGAGGGAGGATGGGGAAGGAGGCTTGGGAGACTTCATTAGTGCATGTCCCTGCCTTTCTTTGAGCTGCTGTAGAAACAGCAACTGCTCTTCCCAGCTGCCGGGTTTTCACGGAGGCCACAATCAGGCTTGGCTGGAGAGGGTGAGGTGGCTAAAGAGCCCACCCAGAAACCTTGGTGTGGACTGTTGCCTTGGTCACTTGCTTGGGCTTCATGGCTGGAATTATTTGGTCAGTGACTTGAAGCCTGACTGGTTAAGAGCATTGGAGAGAACCTGAGAGTTGGCCAATCTGGGAATGCTCCTGGACAGAGGTGGACGCACAGGTGGGGGGTAGAGGGCTGGGTTCCCGACTTGGGCTGGTTGGCCTCAGAACTCCTGTGGTCCCTTTCCTGGCTGTAGGTCTTGTCAACACAATGATGTTCACAGAAATGCAGAGCAGTTGGATGTGTCCTCTTCCTCTGGTCTTTTTTTTAACTTTGTCCTTTTGATTGTGACTTCAGATTTCAGATCTTGCCAGGCTCTTGTTTTGGCTGCTTGTTTCAAAAACTTTGTTTTTAACTTTTAATTATGAGAATGTTTAAACATACACAAAAGTACAGTCAATCTCCATGGATCCATCCACCAACTCACACACACACACACACACACACACTCTCTCTCTCTCTCTGTTGACAGTTACCCATATGGTGTCAGATTTCTTTTGCTTGTCCCTGAAGAAATAGAAGAAATATTCTATTTCTTCATTTGTATGTGGTGCTGAGGATCGAACCCAGGGCCTCACACGTGCTAGGCAAGTGCTCTACTGCTGAGCTACAGCCCCAGCTGCTGTATTATATTTTTAGTTGTAGATGGACACAGTTTCTTTGTTTTATTTTTATGTGGTGCTCAAGCAAGCGCTCAACCACTGAGCTACAATCCCAGCCCTTGTCCCTATATTTTTAATGAAAAAAAAAATGAATCTCCTAAAATTTAGTTTTCTCAATGCCAGGCAAGATTTTGATTTATTTGGACTGGCTCTTTTTTTTTTTTTTTTTAATTTGCATTTATATATGTAAGTTCAAATTTTATTTTATTGTAAATTGGCAAATTCTATTTATGGGGTTCAAAGTGATGTGGACTTGTGTATGATGAAATTAAGCTGATTACCATATCCACCACCTCAGTACCTGTTCTGTGTGAGACCATTTGAAATTAACTCTTAGTGATTTTGAACTATCCCAATAGGCTATCATTACCGTAGTCACCAGGGTACATAAGTTCACAGTTTACTTGATGAATGTCATTGTGACCAACAGCAGAAATGGTGGTGTGAACGGATTCTGAGGTTCTGTACAAATACATGTTTCAAAGCACAGTGGCCACTGGGATGGAAGAGCCACAGGGTGGAAGAAGAGGGCACTCTGGAGGGCAGCAGTGGTGGGCACAGGAGGAGAAGGTCTGGGCTCTCCCGTGGCACCACCCCTGGCCCTTGCACAAGAGAGGACAGAGGAGCCCTGGCCACCTGACCTTTGTGCTTGTCCTTCTGGCGACGCTCCTGCTACTCAGTACCCTGGAGTTTGCTATGCAAATGGCCCAACCTG